TTTTGAGTTGTTCGCCGCCCTGAGTCCCTCCTGGAGAAGGGCGGCATACAAATAAACTAAATCTTAAATCTTAATCTCATAGATAAATATAATTAAAGGAAAGAAGAACATTACAAGTCAATAACTATGCAAATAGTATCAACAGAAGAGATTGGATAAGATGGTTATGCATGCTGTTCACATTCCTGTGGATACTTCATGGTGCATCTTGCTGAACATGTATGTGTTGTTGTTTTTATCTCCTTTCTGCTTTTTCTTCTTTTGGACTTCAAGTGTAAAATAAGGAATTGCTCTGGTGAGCATGGGCATATATGGTTACCCACAATTTTTTTTTGTTCTATGTGCCATTGAGTACTAAAAAGCTAATGCATCATAAAGTAAATTTAATTTAGTTTCTGAATCATGACTTCGGGTTCCAAATCAGTCTTGGAGGCTAGCTTCTTATTTTGGCCTGCAATATAACCTAACTGTGTAGCAGAAAGTTTAATTTTTAAGTGAAAGCAGTTATTGGTGAATTATGGGTTCCAGGTGAGACTCAAGGGAAGATAATCACCTCTACTGTTTTCAATAGGTAGAGAAGAATAGGCTGTTAGAAAAGCTGAAGAAGACATTACTGAAAAAAAATTGCAAAGCTATTTTTATTCCTGTATCATTAAAGATACCAGAGACAGAGAAAGTGGCTAATTTGGAATTGCTTATTTTAAATGATCTTTTTCATGATTGAAACCAATTAAAAACTTCAATGGAAGCAATACATTTGTTGCCCGAATCTCCTGATAAGAGCATGGTGGAGTTAAAAGAAATAGCTACTGTCGCTCACAAAGCAAGACTAAATTAACTCAAAAGTGCTGATAAACAAGGTACTAAAGATGTTGAAAGGATGTTGAAAGGGAATGATGATTACCTGGCTGATAAAGATACTTGGGGCAAAAAGATCTTAGTGGTAAATTGGAAACAAAACATAAGGTAACAGTATGATATGGCTGCAAATGAGAGTGAGATGGGTGTTATCTATATGTAATACAAACAAACAAAGTTAGTTACTTAATTTTTAGCCACATCTCAGTATTATTTCCAAATCATCATTGTTCCATTTTAATCTGCTTTGACCAGTCTACATATTGAATAGAGCAACTAGTTTTGCATAGAGCAGCGGTGCCCAACCTTTCCCCAATTTTGGCAGCCTGGCCAGCGGGGATGGTACCATGATAGCAGTAGGCACTATTCCACGGTATTGGAACAGCGTATTGCAGAGAAGTGTAACAAGAATGATCAGGAAACCAAAATCTATTAAGAGAAATTGAAGGAGCTGACTGTTTAGACCAGGGGCATCAAACTCGTGGCCCACAGGCTGAATGCATCATGCGCCGGCCACACTAACCCCCGATTTAGCAAAGGGAGGGAAGTGACAATATGTCATGTGATGACAATGTGATGCCGCGAGTTTGACACTCCTGGTTTAGACTGAAAAGGTATCAAGTAGAAGAAGGTCCTGTCCTTTCCCATTCCAGAGCGTATGACTACAATAATAGATACAGGAAAGCAAATTCTGACTGGGTGTTAAAAAAAAGTCCTAAAAGCAAGAACGATGTGAGATGCAACTAGTTACCCAGAAAGCAAAAGACTCTTCTTTCTTGGAAGTGTTGAAATGGAACAAAGACACGCACCTTAATAGAATCCTTTAATTTGGAGTCTCATACTAAGCAGAAGGTTAGATTCAGTGGCTTCTTTCAACACTATGGTTCTATATAGAATAGAATAACAGAGTTGGAAGGCACCGTGGAGATCTTCTAGTCCAACTTAGGCAGAAAGCTCTATACCATTTCAGACAAATGGTTATCAAATCTCTTCTTAAAGACGTCCAGTGTTGGAGAATTCACAACTTCTGGAGGTAAGTTGTTCCACTGATTAATTGTTCTAACTGTCAGGAAATTTCTCCTCAATTCTAAGTTGCTTCTCTCCTTGATTATTTTCCACCCATTACTTCTTGTCCTAGCTCCGGTGCTTTGGAGAATATAGCTTGACCCCCTCTTTATATGTTTATACATTATCTCCTGGACAAAATATATTTACATGTTGCCAATTGATCTTGTGTGAACACATTTTATTTTTGTTTCAAGTAATATGGCTCTATTTTTTTTTAAAGTTTTAATTGTTACACCCATAAAAATAGGAAATTTATGGTTGCTTCATCTTTTCCTGGATGAAAGCTAGTGTTTGGAAGATTTGAACTGGTATAATGCCATACAACTTTAATGAATCTGGATCATTTAAAGTGGAAGGAATGACATATAGTTTCCCTAAAATTAATGAGCATAATTCCCATAAACTTCCCCAGAAACACACTTTTTAATCCAGTTATAAAAATGCTTAGATTCCCATCTCAGGCTTCAGGAGACATCTCATTTGAAAACTGTGTTCCATGATTTTCCTTTCTTATAAAATATATTATGTTTACATGATCATTCATCGATTCTATCATTTAAAGCTAGCTTAACATATCTATTACAAAGATCAAAATTCAGATTCCTGCTTCATCCTCCATTCATGACAGTAGGTTTCTCAATTCTGCCCAAAGATAGACTCTCCACTCTTTGTCTTTTACTTTAAAACCTCAGAGCCAGAGGTGGTATTCAGCAGATTCTGACCAGATCTGGAGAACCGGTAGTGGAAATTTGGAACAGTTTAGAGAACTGGTAAATACCACCTCTGACTTGCCCCGCCCCCATCTATTCTCTGCCTCCTGAGTCCCAGCTGATTGGGAGGAAATGAGGATTTTGCAGTAACCTTCTCCTGGAGTGTGGTTGGAATGGAGATTTTACAGTATCCTTCCCCTGCCAAGCCCACCAAGCCATCCCACCAAGCCATGCCATGTCTACCAAGCCACGCCCACAGAACTGATAGTAAAAAAAAAATGAATCCCACCACTGCTCAGAGCTGAAATACAGTGAATATTGCAGTGATTCAAGTTTTACCTTCCTAATTTCAGGAGGAGGACACATGGCTGGGATCTGGGAGGCTTCAGTATTTAGTCTGCAGTTAGACGTGATCTCGCTCCAAATGCACTGATGACCAAGATCTTCTCTCCCAAGGCACTGAGAGCAATCAGCACTTCCAATTGCACAATTATAAATCTCCACTGAAAAAAACCAGATAACATATGCTAAAATTGAAACATACATGATCCCTCCCCCTTTCCAGCAACATAACATTTAAAATCTGACAGAAGAATAAGAGCTTGTACAAGAGTTTTCTGCTGTAATCCTAAAGCTTTCCCAGTAATTCTTGGCACTTCTCCCTTCTACGACATAATTTAGTACTTAAGCATTCACTCTGTCACACTGTGCTGTTTTTAAAATTCTAGACCACTGCATGAGAATCAACTCTGCACTACAGCATCGTTAGAAGAAAAAAATGTATTTTTTTCAATAGCAAACATTATTTAAAATGCTTAGTGTGTTGTGAACATTTCACTAACTTGCTATCAAAAAGAAGGGAAGGGAATCAGAAAAACTGAATCGTGTAATGGTGACACAAGAACAGGTGTTAGTCCTTATTACAAAACTGAATCACCAGGCCCAGATGGTCTCTATCAAAGGGTTATTGAGGACCTTAAAGCTGGGACTGTGGACCTCCTAACTAAAATATGTAACCTGTTTCTACTTTTGGCCTCTGTAGTTGAGAACTGGAAGTTGGCAAATGTAAGTCCAATTTTTAAGAATGGCTCCTGGGGGAAATCCAGGAAATTCTAGGCCTGTCAGTTTAACATCTGTCCTGGGGAGGACAGTGGAAACAGCTATTAAAATTATACTACCAAACATCTGGAGACACAACCCATGCTCAAGGATACCCAACATGGCTTCACTAAGCATGATCCTGCCTAACTAATTTACTAGAGTTTATTAAACCTGTTAATAAGCATGTGGATAAGGGTGAATAAAGTCTCTCATCAAAGATTTTTCAGTAAGTCTTCTGGGTGAAAATTCAAGGTCCTGTTCATCATCTATAAAGACATCTATGGCATAGGGCCAAGTTACTTCCTGTGGACAGCCTTTCTCCTATTATTTATTTTTTGTTGTACTTGTTTTTAATAAATATGGTAAGCCCCAGGTCGCTTCCTTCAAAAAATGTACATTTGCTGGAATCATGTCATTTCAGTAGCAGTAACTACTCTGTGGAAGAACATTCCTTGGTGTTTTGCTGTTAGCTTTCACAGACACTGAGCACCTGGCTGTTTCCTTATTCTCCAAATGTATTTCTGTATGTTTGGGGAGTACAGTAGGCATTGTATTACAAAACTCAGCTAGATAAACGACACCTCCATAAATTACCAAGGTGGTATCAAAGCTTCAATCAATTTGAAACAAAATATAAAAACAGCCCCAAAGTAAAATGTAAATCAGCCTTAAACTATTGGATACCACATAGCTTGTACTATAATAACAAATTCCATTCCATTCCAAAATACATTTGTCCTATATGTCTTATTGACATAAACTTAACAATATGCAGATATCCTGAAGCTGACTGAGAAAATACATTCTAAATACAATGGCAAGTGTTGTTTTTATCAATATGCACAGTTTGCTAGCAACTATATGAAACCCACTTAAGACTTGTGAACAAAAACCAAGATAATCTGCATACAGATATGAATTCTGTATATTGAAATACTACATTTTTTGGCTTTAAAAACTCTAACCTATTTCAGGAGAGTGTAAAATGAAAAGACCAATTAGTGAAAAACATGTAAGCCTTTTATAGATGAAATGCCCAAATTAGAAAGTGATGAAAGGCAAACCAAATTTATGTCAAACCTGTCATCATCTGTGGACTGTCAATAAATTTTTCAGGTCTTCCTTTCAATTGAAGATTTACCAGAAATAAATGTCTTTTCTGGAAGGTATGAAGCTGCATAAAAAAAGAGAAGAGAGTGCCTCATTTACTGAACCAGCAGACCAAAACATGTAAATTAAGTTTTTACTATGAAGGCATTTCTGTATTACAAGATACACATATTCAACAGAAGAAACCAGGAGAATGGGCTTAACAAATACCATACAGATAATCTTTGACTTATGATCCTTTGCTTAATGATTATTTGAAGTTATGAGACTCAGGAAAAATTACTTACAACCTGTCCTTGATGTTAAAACCTCTGCCCTATCCCCATGGTCACATGATTGTATTTCAGGCCCTTGGCAACCTGTTTGCACGTATAACTGTTTGCCAAGTGCCCCATAATCACGTTATCGTCATTTGCAATCTTCTCTGCCAGCTTCCCCAGAAAGTTAATGTGGAAGCCACAGGGAAAGTTATAAAATGCTGCTTCCCTTCCCCTCCATCCGTCCCTTTTAGATGGACTAGAGAAACAAAGATTTTCAGGTAGCAAGTTACTCCCTAGTGGTCAGTTCTACTTGATGGGTGGAGAAGAGATCAAACCCTCAAGCACTCTACTTCTTGCTGCCATTGAACTTTGTCATTTTTCTTTTACTGTTTAACATCTATGTGGAACATTAGGAGACTATAATCAATTTATAAGTAATACCAGGGGTGGGTACCTGCCAGTTCTAACCTCTTCTATAGAAGAGGTTCCACAAATCTACAGCGCTGTTTAGAACCGGTTCCAGCTCCCTCCCCTCCCCCCATTCCACACTTCATCAAGATGAAGAGAGAGAGGAGGAATTCTGGGAGTTGAAGTCCACAGGTCTTAAAGCTGTCAAGTTTGAACACCTCTGGGGTTTTTTTCTAAAGGGTTAGGGGTGCAAGAGTCTTATAACTTGACAGCTTTAAGACTTGCGTGCTTCAAATGCCAGAGTTTCTGAGCCAACATTTTGGTTGCTANTCCCGCTAAACCATAATTTCATAATAGTGTGAAAAGAATGTTAAAAGCAATGAGATTAGCCAATGAAAAATATAAACTGTATCATTTTTGGGTGGAAACAAAACCTGTACAACCGAGCTTCTACAATTCTACTATGATCAATAAAATAATTTGGGAGAAGATTATTCACAATTGAGTCAGTACTGTCATTCCCTAACATCTACATTATCTGCCATGGAATTATCCATTTTGCAAGTGTGACGGTCAGAAGCTGCAATGGTATCTTACAATAATACCAAATCTCAGGGGAGATTTCATTTGTCATCACTTGTTTTTTTTCCATGAACCAAAGTCACTGATTTCACAGGATGTCTGAGTTACCTTAATAACCTACAATTAGAGAATTGTAGGTTCTTTGTCCTTTTGTGACAAATCTATAAAACCAACTATAAAGGAACCGCAAAGAAACAGCAGCCTTCCTTCCTTCCTGGAAGTTCAGTTACAAAGCCTACAGCTTGCCTTTCCCTCTAACTGCTGCCAACATAACATGATGTCAGCCAGGGCAGAAGGTCATTAGTGGAGGCGTTTTCTTCCTCCAAGCTGCTTAAAGCTGATAATGTTCCTGACTTCACTGCTCCAATAGGGCTACAGTTGTCCTCGTCTTCTTCCTCTCAGGACTACTCTAGAGACACTAAAAAAAAAAACCTTGTTTATTTTTGAAATGGAATATATAGCATCTGTAAGGAAATAGCATCCTAGCCTAATAACTCTAATGCTGATGATTTGTTTTCACTAGTTGCTTTTGGCAGAGAGCAAGAGGCTCAGTTTCCTACACTGTACAGTGGAATTGAGTTGGCCTCATTAGCATTTCCTCTGCATTGTTAGACCAAAGAAATGGAAACATACTTTACATATTAGTAATAAATTAGCTACTTGATTTTGAACAGATGAGGAACCTACCAACTCTTAAGTTCCCTGGGTTGATTAGCTTTTTTTGATTTAACTACTTTGTCCTTTAGAATTCTTTAATATGCAGCTAGTTTCCTATATAAAGATTACTAAATAAACTGTATACAATTAGTCTGTGACTTACAACAGTTTACTTAGTGACTATTTGAAATTGCAACAGCACTGAAAAAAGTTTTTCACATTTAACGAATGCGGCAGCATTCTCCAGGTCACATGATCAAAATTCAGATGCTTGGCAACAGACTTGTACTTATGCCTGTTGCAATGTCCCGGGGCCACTAACTTTTTGCAACTTTCTGACAAGCAAAGTTAACGGGGAAGCCAGATTCGCTTAACAACTGGGTGACTAATTTGGCAGCTGCAGTGAGTCACTTAAAAAATGTGGCAAGAAAAATTATAAAATGAGGCAAAACTCACTTAACTAACGTCTTGCTTAGCAACAGATGTTTTGAGCTCAATTGTGATCGTAAGTCGGGAACTACCTGTATTGTCTTTGCAGATTTTAATTAG